CCCTCTGTCATTACTTTTGCCGTTTGCTTATAGTATATAGCTTCTATTGCTTGAATAAATTTTCTAGCGAAGCCCATCTGTTCCAGCAGTAATAACATGAATCGCCAATTCACATTATCAAATGCCTTCTGTGCATCTAGAAATATCAGAGCCATTTGTTTTTCAGGATGTGCCTCATAGTATTCCAAGGTGTCCAAGATTACTCTCATATTGTCTTTAATTTGTCTCTTTGGCAGAAATCCATTTTGATCAGGATGAATAAAATTATTTAGATATTTTTTAAGTCTTTCTGCCAATATTGAAGCAAAGATTTTATAATCTGCATTTAGTAGAGAAATAGGTCTATAGTTCTTAATTTGTAATGGGTCGGCCTCCTCTTTTGGAATAAGTGTAATATAGGCTTCTGACCATGATTTAGGTATCTTCTTCTTTAACATAACTTCATTCATAACTTCTAGCAATGGAAGATTCAATGATTCTTGTAATGTTTTGTAAAATTCTGCCGGAAGTCCATCTGGGCCTGGTGCCTTTCCATTAATTTGCTTCTTGAGTGCTTCAGTTAACTCCATCATCGTTATATTGCTTTCTAACATTGTTTCAATCTCTTTAGGTATCTGAGGTAAATTAGCATTCTGTAAGTACTGTTTAACTCTTTCCTCATCAATATTCTCTTGCATATATAGTTTCCCATAGAAGTCTCAAATGATTTCCTTCTTCTCTTTACTACCATAGCAAACTTGGCCTTGGTCATCTGTTAATTAGAATATTTTCCTTGATTCTTTCTCCTTTCTCAATTTGTATGCTAACCATCTACCTGGTTTGTTGGCATCTTCAAAGTAGTTCTGTTTAGCACCTCTAATTTTCTGTGCTAATTCTTCTTTTTCTATTTGACCCATTTGATGTTTAACTATATCCATTTTTAGCTTGATGTCCTTTTTCTGTGGCATTTTCTGTAGCTCTTTTTCAAGTCTTTTATACTCATCCTCTAAGGCCTTGGAGGCTAATCTTTTTATAGTATTCCTTTTCCTTGTATAGTTTATTATCAAGCCTCTAACATATGCCTCCATTGAATCCCATACATTGTGCATTGATGTATCTTCTTTTTTGTTTTCTCTAAAGAAAAAAGCCAATTCTTTCTCCATCCACTGTGTGAAGTCTTTTTCCTTTAAAATAGTATTATTTAATGTCCATCTAGATCTTCTTTTTCGTCCTTTCCATTTAATTATCATTGGATTGTGATCTGCCCAAGTACTTGTTTCAATATTTATTTCTTGAATATTAGTTATTAATTCTGTTGACATCCGTATCATATCTATTCTGGACCATGATAAGTGTCTATTTGAATAAAAGGTGTATTGTTTAGTTTTAGCATTTCTTCCTCTCCATGTATCTTTTAAGTTTCTTTCATCTACCATTTTAAAAAAAAGATTTAGGGAGAGTCTTTCTGTTTTGCTTTATTGTTTTCTGTGCTGTATAGTCCAATTTATTGTCTACAATTCCATTAAAATCTCCCATCATAACTATATTAGCATAGTCCAGTTCAATTATTCTCATATGTAATTTTTTGTAGAATTCTTCTTGTTTGTCATTCGGGGCATAGATTGCAATCAGGAGTGTTTTTGTATTATTGTCCATTATTTCCACCATTAATATTCTTCCGTCATCAGTGGTATAAATCAATTTTGCTGGGATGGTCTCTTTAATATATAAAACCACTCCTCTTTTCTTACATTGGGTCAAGGTAGTAAATATTTTCCCTAGTTTTGGCTGTATCAACAATTATTCATATTATTTTTTAATATGTACTTCTTGTAGACAAATTATATCAAATTTTAATTTCTCTAATTTATGAAAGGTTTTCCTTCTTTTAACAGCTGAGTTAAGTCCATTTATATTAATTGTAATCAGTTTTTTCTCTTCCATGGTTATATTTTGTAGTTAGGTTTAGCAGCTCTCGTAGATCTTGGTTCACGTTGTTCTTTGGCTTCCACCTTTCCACCTACTGCACCTTCTTCTTTTTCAATTGCCATTTGGCAGTCCTCTTGGAATTCAATTAGTGAGATTTCTTTTTCTGCCTCTTCCTCTTTCCCTCTAAAAAATTCTGTATAAAATAATTTCGCTTTCTCAATTGAGTCAATTCTATGTCTCTATTCTTGCCATGTGAACATTAAACCTTCTGGAATCAGCCATCTATAATTCACCTCTTTTTTAAGTAGCATTTTAGTCAGGAATCGGTATTCTCTTCTCATCTCTCTCACTCTTCTGGGTATTTGTTTCAAAACCACAATCTCCTTGTCTTTATATTTCAATGTTTTCTCTTTTGCCACTTGCAATATTTGCATTTTAATGGCTTTCTTTGTAAATCTAATGTGAACTTCTCTTGGTAAGCTATTTCTCATCCCATATCTTGTGAAAACTCGATAAACCTCATCAATTCCATCCATCATCTTCTCTTGAGTTATTTCCAAAGCTTCAGCCAGTATTTCTATCATTATCTCAGCTAGGTTTTGTCCTTTTTCTTCCTCTACATTTTGGAATCTAAGATAGAATTCTGATCTATCCATCTCCCATCTCAACATACCACTTTTATCTTGTTCAACCACTGTTAATCTATTATCAATATCTCCAATCTTCTTGTCTCTTTGTTTATCTTCTTCAATTTTTTGGAATCTCTCATCATACTTCAACATCATTTGTTGGATGTTCTCCACTTTTTCATCAGTTTTCCCTGTTCTTTGTTCAATGTTCTCTGTTCTTTGTTCAATGTTCTCTGTTCTTTGTTCAATGTTCTCTATTCTCTTTTCAATATTCTCTGATCTTGCTTGAATATTTTGAATTCCTTGCCTAATCATCTGCAGAGTCACTTTTTCTTGTTCTTTTTCCTGCTTTAACATTGTCTGTATTGAACATTGTCCTCCAGATGGTGGGGAGGAGGAAGTAGAAGTTGAAGAACCAGGAGCTGTTAGTTTCCTATTCATTTTAAGCAATTCAAAATCTTCAGGTTCTTCTAAACCTTAATCCAATTGTGAAATAACCAATTGTAGTTCGAAGTAAAAATAGTAGGGAAAAAAAACACCAAATAGTAATGATAAAAAAAGAAGAAAAAAAGAGGACAAAATTTCTTCAGGTTCTTGTATACCTTAATTCAATTGGTGGTTAGATGAAGAAAAAGGCTTTTTAAAAAAAGGAAAAATTCTTCAGGTTCTTCAACACCTTAATCCAATTGAGAGGTCTCAAATAGAAAAGAGTACATAAAAATAAACCAGAAAGGTAGATGAAAAAACAAAAATACCAGGAAAGAAGAAAAAAAGGCTGTTCCCTTAAAAAATAGGAAACATTAATACTAAAGCTTTCCCTTTCAGATAAAAAGCAAGCGTAGAGATTGGACTTCCAAAGAAAAAAAAAGAAAAATAAAGATAAGCTCCAACAAAGCCAAAGATCCAAATAGCTATTGCAAAAAAAAAAAAAAGATAAAATGAAATAAAATAAAGCTAGTGAGGAGGGATAGCACAACTTAGAAAAAGTAAAAAGAGCACATTGCACTTTGTTTAATTATCCAAGGCTCTTATTATAACTCTCTTCTCCAAAAACTTATCACCTTTTTTCCCCTAGGTTTCAACACCAGACTCCAGCTGTTGATAGAAACCCAGAAGAGCACCTGCAATAATACTCTCCCATGCTCTTCCCTCTATCTTATCAAACAGGCAGTGTCCTTGAAAAAAAGTCTCAATTCTTTCTCAGCTTTGTCCAGTCAAAGGAAAAGTAGAGTATTTCCAAGCCTCTAGTTGGCAGTGTTACAAAGTTTCTTTAGATTTCACTTTCCCCCCTCCTTTTTCGGCAGAGTATAATAAGAATTAGTTAAAAAAGGAAGAAAATATTTTTAAAAAAAGACTAAAAGGGAGTCTCTGGCTTAATATATTATAAAATCAAAAAGGGGCAAGAAAAGAGTAGATTTAAAAAAAAAAAAGGAAAAAACCAGTCCAGTTTCAAAATATAGGATCATCAGCAAAAAAATAAAAAAATAAAAAAATGACTTTGGCATTCCTGTTTAAAATCGCCACATTCACTTCTGTCAAAAGACTTTTACAGATTCTTTCTTTCCCTTAGGGTGTCCTCTCAAATCTTTAAATAAAGAAAAGTTCTCACCAAACCGGCACACTTTCTCTTTCGTTCTCTTTCGTTTCAGAGCTGTCCCAACTTCAGCAGCTTTAATGGCTGCCTCTTTGCCGCTGGCAAAAAGAGCTTCTCCTGGATCTACCAGGGACTTTGCAATATCCCTGGGATCGACAGGATACGCTCTTTACATTCACCGTCTCTTCAGGATGGTTTAGATCCACTTGGACCGTCCAGGAGCAAAGATATCGGCAGCGATCTCAGATCTCCAAGATTGCAGGCCGTATTGTCGCGATGCCAGCTCTCCCCCCCCCCCCCCCCGGAAAAACAAATTTCATTGACTCTTATCTACCACCAATTTGCTTTGACCATTAGTAGTTCAAAGTCTTGTAGAGAGCGTTAGCAACCATTTTGTTCCAAAACTTTAGATATTTTTTTTTCTGGTCAAAGTACATTGTCTGAAAATGTCAATTCATTCCTAATGGTTTGAGACTAGGTTATAAATATGCCAGCCTTCTTCTAACAATATGCTTAATTGGGTTAATGGGAAAGAGAGTTAGCAAATTATGAGAATTCCAGAATGGTATTAGGCAGAGAAACCACATTTTTTTGATGATTGGAAGATATATTTTGGCATGATATTACAAGAGAAAAGATTTATGAGAAATAAGTAGAATAAAGGAAGAGCTATTCATGGAAAGGGGATATTAAATGAAAAGCTCTCTTCTAGGTTTTTGAAAGTTATTCCAAGTAGAGTTTGTTTTGATTTTGATCAATTTAATTTCAATTTTTGTTCTTATTTTTGGTAGCAAATTACAAAATATTGGAGGGAAGAATTTCACAATTGGTAATAATTGTTTATCTCTCTTTCCCAATGCAACTTGTAGAAACTGGGCAGGCAAAATTTAATAACTTCTTGAGGATATTGATGAGGAATCCACAACTTAAAACTTCTGCAGGTATGATCTGGAGGTCCTGCATAGGCAATAGTGCTCTGAAAGACAGCATAGAACTAATCATTTATTTTATAACATTTACATTTCTCTTGTTTTAAATCTATTTATTTAGAACTGTTTATCATTAATATTAAAACAGTACAGTGACTAAGTATGTTGCTTCTTGTGCAAGAGCTCTCTCTTGCAAAACCTAGCAGAAATTTACATGTCTGTTTTAATTATTGTTTTCCTTCCTTTGGTTAGTTAGCTAGGTCTTCCTAGCTTAAGGATTTTCAAAAACCAGTACAATACAAAATGTAGTGCAACATACAGAGTACTTGGTACAAGGTACATAATACAAAGTACACAGTACGAAGTACAAACTCCCATCATTTCATTCAGTCTTTCCAATATCTGGAGACGAAAGGATTTCTTTTCACATATTAGGCACAACTCTTATGTAGTATGATATTTCACTACTAATGGTAAAAGGAAAGTGTAGAAGTAATTATAATGCAAAATAGCTAGCAAGGATAGAATTTTCATTTTATTTTAAAACTGGTTCTTGCTTCTACATATATGTGTATGTGTGTGTGTTGCTGCTCTAACTTTGTATATATCAATTAAATGTTCTTTTGTACACAAGTATATTTTATTTGTGCATGGGCACACACACACACACACACACACACACACACACACGCACATGGATATGCATCCGCAAAAACTCTCCTGTAGGTAGAAAAGTGAATGTTACTTTCATGAAATAGAAAGTTGGATCTAGGAAAAAACTGAAGCATTGCACGTCTTATGTTCTGAAGGGTTTAAGAATCCTCAGGTTGCAAAACAGCTATTATTAATATAATCTGGGAAACAAAGACATAGTGCATTTGCAATGCTCTGGACATGGAAGGAATGCAACGTTATCCATCCTTGCTCTCTGGAAGTGGCCACTGGCATCTTCTGAAACTGAGTGCAGGACAAAATGAAGATCTGCTCCAAATCAGCCTTGGCATCAGCCCAACCTCCTGGGCTAGCAAGCAGCACAAGACTTCCAGTGTCTTGGAATAGTGTTCTTTCTTTCACATTCTTATAGGCACTGCAAAGGAGTCTAGGAAGCCGTCACTTCCTGTTTGCCCCAGTTGGTTGGTATTTATATGGAGTAACAACTATTATTTTTCTTCCCTCAAAAGTGTGACTGATGGGAAATGAGGCAGAAAGTAGAACACAGAGAATGGTTACCTAGGATTTGTTTTTCTGTTGTTCCCGTGCCATTCAAAAACTCTGAATACAAGAAGTCCTAATCAGTTTGAACAACATTGCTGATTTACTGTAAATCCCTCTGTCCCTATGCAAGCAGTTACTCCTATTCAATTCAGGTGGTATACCACCACCCCAACTCTCTTAGATGTGTTATGAATGGGTCCCATAAGCTAATCTGAATTATTCAGCATCATTATGTTTGATTCTCAGTCCAATCACTTTCCTTTTTATGTCTCCATCCTCTCTAGCTTTGGAAGTTGGTTTTGATATTCTGGCCAAAATGAAAAACGAAAGGATTGAATTCACAGAGTTGCAGATGCTTATGCAGAGCTTCAATATCAACTTGCCAACAGAGGATATGTCAGAGGCATTGGCCTTTTGCAATGTTGATGGTGAGTATAACTTTTACTGTGGCTTTTAAGGATATATGTCAATGGAGATTCTCAGTCATTCGGGTCTTGGTTGTCCCAAATGTTCAATTGAACATTTTTCAAAAGGCAACTGAACTTTATTTTTCCTTGAAGAGTTTCACTTCTCATACAAGAAGTATATAGTACTACTACTATATTATAGTAGTACTGTATACTTCTTGGATGAGAAGTGGGGGCTGTGAAATTCTGGGAGTTGAAATCCACAGGGCTAAAAGTTGCCAAGGTTGGAGACCCCTCCTATATTCCATATATTACATTCTATATATGATATACGATGTAGTGTAATATTACATTCATACAAAGATTATTCTTATGTTCTTATTTTTCTCTGCTTTCTTTTCATTCCCCTTCCATTTTCAGATAACAATACATTAAATCTAAAAGAGTTCATCAGGAATGTGATCTATACTGATACTTTTGTTACTAGGCCAGGTGAGTGAAACCCTATTTGAAACTATCTTTAAGTATTAGATATACAAACTATCCAGCTTTTTGCAATTAATTACTAAGAATAAGAGACAGCTTGATAAACAGGTAATGAGGAATTATTGAGTGGGAAAAGAAGCTTTGTAACAGTAGGAAAAAAAGAGAACATTAGAGGAGCAAGCAAAAAAGAACATAATTTTGGTTTAAAGTTACATTATTTCCATTAACTGTTGATTAGATCTAGAAAGTTTTACATTTGAATATTCTCACATATATCTGCCCCTAAATATGTACTGACTTCTATACATATATAGAGGCAGATAATATTATTAGTATTACAGTACTAATTATAGCATAAATTATTTTTATGCTACTAATAATAACCATTAACAGATTTGGGTTTCATGAATTTGAGCAACCAAAAGTAAGACTTGGAAACAGCTTAGTGAACTGGAAAATGGGAAATCATTTAAATAATGCTTTCCCTTTTGGTTTCTTTCATAATATATTTCCTAGTATAAGCCAACCTTTCCCAGTGTAGTTAGCTCCAGACATGTTGAAGTTACATCTCTCATCATCCCTAGCCAACAAAACCATGGCAGATGGTTTAAATATCTTAGTCATGCAAATAATGATGATGCTGTACATGTTGATCTTGGAGTGATGTTTTTATAGAACTGCAGCTCATCTGCTTGGCCTTGAGCAAATTCGAAGATGACCACTTCGATCTCCAGACTCTTCAATCCAGCCTGGACACTATGGAACTTTTTAGGGCCAATGAATTATTGAAGGAAGTGATGAACATAGCCAAAGTTGACAGTAAGCATTCTTAGTATGAAATGGCATCCCTGAAATTACTGTTTAGTGATTATTTTCTGTATTTCAGCATAACCCATCCTTTGCCTTGCAGGTTATGGCAAGGTTAATTTAGAAGAACTCATAAGGGTTTTAACTGTAATACCAGAGATTCCAGAAGCAACCGGTAAGGCCAATTAATATTTTATTTTTCTATTCTATAGCTGTTTCTTTACATTCTTCCTAGAATCTACTTCTCCAATCTCCTGCCTTGTGTTATGGGTTCAACTCTTAGACAGAAACCTGGCCTATAGCCATCATTCATATCTTAGAGCATACATATTCAATATTGAGTTGGGAAACTTACTTGCAGTCTCAAGTTTCAAATCTCAAGAATGATGCTCTGCTGTGGTTGTAAATGCTCCAAACCGAAAGTTTTTAACAAGAGATTTGATAACTGTTTGTCTGAAGTGGTGTAGTGTTTCCTGCCTAAGCAGGGGGTTGGACTAGATCACCAGAAGATCTGCAAGTCCCTTCCAACTCTGTTATTCTATTCTATTCTACTTCCTTGTGTGTAGGAGTAGATATATAACATCCTTTTTAAACTCTTTAAAGTGGCTGGTTCTTTTCCTGGCGCAATCCTGAGAAAAGACATGGCTGTTTAAGGAGTTGCAAAAAGGCTACTGGATTCTTTTGATTTTTTTAAATTTTGTTTATTGTAATTGCAAGCAACTATAGCTGAAGCTGAGGATAAATAAAGATGGAACAAGGATAATTTAACCCCACCCTCATTTCAGTTTGTTCAATATAGTACTTGAAATGCTGTTTTAAGAGGAATAATATTGCTATTTCAGTTGGTGAAATAAATGTGCAACTGAATATCATATTGCTACAAATATTTCTTTGGTAGTGCTGATGGATACCCTTGATGCAATGCATAATACCATAGACCAGGAGATTAATATCAATGATCTAGCAAAAACCTTGACCACCATGGGTATCAACCTGACACCGGATGAAATGCAATCACTATGCAACTCAGTAGCCACCACTGGTGAGATTAGTACTTATTTCAATTTCAGTATTCCAGCGTGTATATCTTTTATCATTACTTAAATAATAAAACACATTACTTTATAATTGACATTACGAGAGAAAAAAAAACATAATAAAATTCTTTCTAGTCTTATGATGTTAGTGATATGGACTGCAAAAATGAAGATGGCCACTAGAGGGCAAGCAAAGAGATGTAAAAATATTTAACACTGGGTTCCCCCCCCCACACTTTCCTGAGAGAGTTATGATAGATAACTATGAGGAAACACGCATCACATATGCTATACAAAAGGAAGCCAAATGTCAACCCTCATATATCAGCCTCACTAATTTAAGATCCCCCAGATATGTTAGAAATACAATTCAAAATAGGCTTGTATGTAAGTGTCAAAACCCTGTAACAGCAATCAAGATAGAATATGTGGGATTGAGTAAATTGACAACGTGTGTTGCAACATCATGACACAAACTCTGCTTCTTACCTATTTGTATGCAATGTTGCAATGCAAGTACAAAGCTCATGTTGTGTCACAATGACACACATTTCATCATTTGGTTTTCATCATGTTTAGGAAAAGATTTCTTTACCTCCCTAGGTTCTAATTAGCAAGATTTATTAAAATAAAAGATTAAGGAGACAACACTAGAATTCTAACAATTGGAACTACACAAAGAAAACACAAAGCACTTCCTTAATTTATCTTTCCCATGCCTTAAAAGGGAGACAGGGAAAAGCCTTTTTTTTTTTTTTTTTAGGATAAGGACTAATCTGCACTTTGATATCGTTAACACAGTGCAGTGATGGGATTCAAAAATTTTCACTACTGGTTCTGTGGACGTGGCTTGGTGGGCGTGGCAGGGGAAGGATACTGTAAAATCTCCAGTCAGAGGTGGTATTTGCCGGTTCTCCAAACTACTCAAAATTTCTGCTACCGGTTCTCCAGAACTGGTCAGAACCTGCTGAATACCATCTCTGACACAATGGCTACTAGTCTCTTTACCAGTGTGACAATAGACACTTACACCAGGCTGCAAATTCTGGGAACTGCCACCCAACTAGAAAAAAATCAAACTGGAGAAAGCTGGCATTTTAGTAGCCTCAAAGAGGCTTTGAGTTCTCAGTTTAGTCACAATTCTTAAGGATGATTTTGCCAAGTTTTCTTATTACCTAATCTATAATTATTTATCTTGTATACATACATTAATTGTATTAAAAATATAAATGTTGGCATGTTTATTTAGACTAAATAAACCATAGTCATTGGTGATTCTTGGTAAATTTGTTTAAGATTATAATCTTAAGCATTGTATAAAGCCATTTTTTTTATCAGATTGCCAATCTCTAATTCTTGTAATATCAAAGAACTTGGTGACTTTCCTCATCTTGGAGAGCAAAACAATATTCTAGAAATATTTTCAGAACCTAGGTTTGTCATGCATATATTATTATTTCTCCCATTCAACCAACTTGCTATTCTGTTCCTTATAGACGATGGGGCATTGAATTTTAATGATATTATGAAAGAAATAATTGGAACAGAGTCCTTTGTAGAAATTCATGGTAAGACCAGAAAATACAATAACATTTGCATAGATACTAATAAATTGGTAAACTTTGCACTTTTCATGTTTTCAATTTAAAGGTCAGTCTGTTTTAATCATACCTGAAAATTAATATACATTGGGAGGATATTTCCTAAGATTCACATATAATTTTTGAAGTCAATTTCCCCCAATGTACCATATATTTTAAAATTATTTCCTCTTCTATATCTTTATTTTGCACATCTTTCTCTTAATATACTAAGCTTGTTTAATCAGTTGATTGGGCAACTGAATTGCAAAATTCAGAAAGCATTTCAAAATAATACCAAATTTCCATTTATTTGGCCAAAAGTACATTAGATATGTTTGCTTTAAAATGGAAACTGAAAATATTTTTGTACCCATCAAATTGTTACATTTTTATATTATTGTAAAAACATTTGAGAGTTCAAATGGAATGGATTCAGAGCAAAGTTCAATGTGCTTCAAATTGCTTTGGACCTCATACAAGTTTGGTACCTCCCAGTCTATGATCATATGAAATCCAAAGCCCCTTTTACAAGTTATATCCAAAGCATGTATAGCCCTATAGTCTATTTGACCAAACATTATTTGTCTGATTTATCACTACAGTGATATTATGAATATGTTATTGTGGTAGAAGTATGGAGACCTGGGTACATGTCCATTCTTCACTATGCAAACTCACTGAATGACTATCCCTGTCCATTCTACCTCTTAGGGTTACTGTAGGGATAAAATGAAAGATCAGAATGTAAAATTAATGAATACATTGATATTAACAAAAGAGAAAAACCAGCCTTCATATTGGCTTTAGAATGTGCTCCATCACCGTCTGTACTAAGCTTAGCTACTGAACAGAATTGGCATTAAGGTCCAATGTCAACGTTTTGAGGTCAGCGGGGTTAAAAAAAAGCATATAATGGGTTTCAGAAATGTTCTTTATTGTAATAAAGTAAGAAAATACTAGAAGTCAGGAGGCTATAGGCTCTAGTCTTCTAGATTAGTGATAAAGTCAGCTTGGTGACTTTGGGCCAGTCATTTTTTTCCCCAACCTTGAGAAAGAGGCAATGCAAGTAACATCTGAAAAACTCTGCCAAGAAAATTGCAGGGATCTGTCCAGGCTGCTCCAAGAATTGGACACAAATTGAACAGAAGAAGTCAGTCTGTCCCATTTTATATCATGAGGGCAGTGAGACTGTATTTTTAAAAAAATTATCAGCACCATGTGAGCTTTTTCTACAAGTGCTTCCTTAATAGCTATTCATTACTTCTCCCCTTATCTGCTCAATCATTCCTCTATCTCCAAGGTCAACTCTAATATGGTTAATTTGGGTAGAAGGTCATACATCTTGAAAGCATTCTACAGATAGGATGAATGCTATAATTTATATCAGCTATGTTAGGCATCATGATGTAGGCAATGTAGGTAATCATTAACATCATTTCTACAATTATTTTGTGGTATATGTAAGATCAGTTTTCTCTCAACCAAAGCCCACATTTCTGTTTGTCATAGTTTCCTTTCTGGGAGCAGGGGAAATTAGTTCAAATTTGAATGCCTCCGTATACCAAATTGGTGGTAGCATTCATATATGTATACGATTTTTTATCTAGGAATTCTGTGAACTACAATCTTAATTCACCCTGAAAAGTGCACAGTTATTTCAAGAGTTAATGTGCAAAAGTAGTGAGTTGGCCACAACTTCTGAGAAATCAGGACATACATTATGATTTGACATATGTTGAAAGGCTGGAATTGGTTCTCACATTCTAAATTATTCATGGGAAGTATCTCTTTGAAATACTATTATCAGGCAAATCAGGCGAAGCTTCCCTATATTTCAAAATTACTTCACCTCATTTGATAAACTCCAGTAATTACCATCTTTGATTTGTCCAATTGGGAATAAGTTTCCATGTTTTTATTGAAAGGATCCATTCTATTAACATGAAATATGGCTTTACAAGATTACTTTGCTTCAAATCTTATTCAGGAATGTCAAAGAATAGGCTAAGAATAAGCAAGGCTGAGCTCATTTGAAATTTGTCTCCGAAAGCTTTACAGAATACTTTCCATACTATCCACAAGATTGTAAAAGAGGACATTACAAAGGAAGATTTTCTGGATGCCCTAGAATACTTAGGCAGCCACCTGACACCCGATGATCTGCAAGAGGTTCTAGCATTTGCTTCCAGTGATGGTAAGTCTTTAATAAATTGGTGGATTATTGGGGCGGGAAACTTTGAGCAGAAAGGAAAATTGTTTTCCTTTCTATTCAAAGGCTGTTAACAGCCTCCATTAAATATTTTTGAAGATAAAACTGACAAAGGTGTGTATTTTTGCAAGGACACTAACATACAAGATGACAGCCACATCCATGAAATTGAAGCCTCTCTTTTTTTTATGTGCCTTAAAGAGGGGAGGGTTTCCATCACTTGATCACAGCTACATTCCTGAGGGCTTCATTTACTCCCGCCTCCTGTTCTCTATCTATTCATTCTCTAATATATCAGTATTCTATCTCATCCTTGTCTTGGAGGCTTAGATTCTAATGTGACTAAAAGTATGAATCCAGAATAGGAAAATGGTAATCTGAGATATTTAGGAGTCTTCCAGAGGCCCTGCTCTTCAAATTCTTGGGTATAAGATACTGTTTATTAAGTTGGATACCAAGAAGTGTACAGCAACTTCTATGCCTAAGCTTTTTGGCTGGGATGGTGGTAGAGTTCCCTGGGTTTATGATCTTGGGGAACTTTAATTTGCCTTCTCTGAGTCTGAGGTCAGAGATAGCTTAAGAGTTTAGGTCCACCATGGCAGCTATGGACCTATTCCGAGTCATCCATTCCCTACACATAAAACTGATAATATACCTGGCATATATTTTTTTCTGTCAGAACAGTAGCACAGTGTTCCAGATTTGGGGAAGACAGTGGATTCCCTCTTGTCATGGTTAAATCACTCCAATGTGAGCCTCCAATTCTCTGGCACCACTTCCTTTCACAGAAATATTGGGCCTATTAAAATGGCATACCTAGCTGAGTAATAGACCCAACTGGGTTCCACAGGGAGCTTGAGACTGTTCCAGAAAGCTTGATAATGGCCTGACCAAAACTTGGGGGTCACTTGGAATAGTAGAGCAGCTTCAGTTTTGGATTAGCCCATGCCCGAGTGGTCCTTCTGTGCACATACTTCCAGACATTCTCTGTGCTATACAATAGAGTTGAGAAAACTTAAAAGAACTATGAGGCTCCTAGAGCTTAGCTGGCAAAAGATAAGGAACAAAGACAACTTTAAACTGAGTTAAACTGTTAGAGCCTACTTTATGATGATAAGGATAGTGAAACATAATTATTTCTCTGCCCTTATTGCATTTATAGATAGTCACCCAACAGCCCTATTCCAGGTGACTTGTCCTTCCTAGGAGGGAGGAATACCGAAGTTCACCTACATGGTTACGATCAGGAATATTGGCATGTTTAACAGATAAAGTGACTTGCATTCACTCAACGTTGGATTCTGGTCTTAAGACAAAATCTGTTGAGTTGTGGGGGCTAAGTCTTGTATATACAGCGTGAGTTTGAGCCTTTGAACTGGAGGAAGTGGACAGAGCTCTTGCGGGTTTTAGTTCAGCCACTTGAGTTTTAGATTTATGTCCCTTATGGCTAGTTAAAGTAGCAAGGGAAGGGATGCATTATTAGTTTTGGTCAGTGGTTAATTCTGCTTTGAGACAGGGAGTGATTCATCACAGCTCAACAGTCTTTGTCCAACTGCTGATCTCCTGTTTGTTCATTTTTTTTTCTTTTTTGCTCAAACCATTGAAGAATCAGGGAAAGTGCATGGGATGGAATTCCTCAAGATTTTGTCTAGTCCCACCAGGATTTCTGACATCAGAGGTAAGTAATTTAAGTGTGAATGAAGAAAATTCATGGAAGGCAGAGGACAGAAGTTCTCCAAATATAAAATGAAATGGAAATAGATAAAAAAAAGGAGAGTCAGTTCCCAGGGCCAATTTTTCCTTTCTCTCTTCCCCTTGTTGGCTACTCAACAGTCATGTCCTGGCTTGGCAGATCCACTGCTTCGCAACCTTTTCTCTCTGCAAAGCACTGGGCGATCTGAGAATTAGAGCAGCCTCGTCTTTCATCTAACAATTCATGTTCTCCAGCATTGCAGAATGCCACAAAGATTTTTGAAAACCCCAATGAAGAGAAGATGACTATCAATCAGCTGGAAGATACTCTAGAGAATATGGGAGTAGATTTACCTAGTTCAAGATTCAATGAGATAATTCAAACTCTCAACACTGATGGTAAGGCAAAGCCTTATTCTTTGTCTCTCTATTTCTGGGCTATACTAAAATTAAAAAGTCAAAATCTGCACAGAATTGAACATTAAGTTGCAGAATGAATGAATTAATTAATTAATGACGAAGGAAGGAAGGAATACACAATTCAGTGAATAGCTATACCTTAACAGCCAACAATAGATAAATGTTACATTTTGTTTTTGATATTCCTTGCATCTTCTTTAACTCTACTACATCTGCACAGGAAAAAAGAGTTGCCTTTATAGGCAATCAATGAAGGCCATCTTCTTTTTCATATTGTGCATGAAAAATGACACATTTTCTCCTCATCAAGAAATGTGAATTTTTCAGTTGTAGTATCATTCAAATCACAAGCTGGAATTAGGTTACACACTGGCATGTATAATACATAGCTAGCATATTTTGGGGAAATCAGTGTTATGGAAGTACTGAAAAAGAACAAGGAAAAAGAAGCCGAAGAAATTAAAACATCATGTCAGACAAAGAACAGGAAATGTAATGAAATCTCACAGATATCAATACAGATAGACCTTACCTACTAACTGTTTTATTTAGTTTGAATTTGCAATGGTGTAAAAAAAATAGTTTTGCAACTTAACCACACATTTACAATTGCCACAAGATCACGCAATCATGTAATTGTCATTTGGGCATATTATAATTACCACACATTTACAACCATTGTAGTGCCCATGATCACATGATCACTGTTTGCATGCTTTTCAACTGGCTTTTGACAAGTATAATTAATAGAGAATGTAGAATTAAAGATCACAAGGTGTGGTCATGTAGTGTCTTGATTAAGGACTGTTTGGAAAGTGACATCATAACTCTATTGCCCTCATGTGATTTTCCACTTAACAATTACAATGCCGAGCAATGAAGTTGCTCAGTTGTGGTCACTGACTATATTGCTCACAATATTATTCATTCCATACCTTCCTGTCCTGGAAAATCTGTGCTATTTCATATTTGCCTTTTTAAACCTCAGCTTTATCCTTGTGATAATGATCTCATCAACCATTAAAAAAAAAATCTCAGTTTTCTTATTTATGACCCGTTTCCTCTTCCTTTATTTATAATTCGATCCTCATTCATTCTTTTTATATCACCCAAACACTTCATCATACTTCTTTGGTGATGATCACATAATTGTTCATTCATTCCACATTTATTTGTCAACTCTTCATTCTTGTTCCTACCACTTCTTGTTTTACACACTCCATAAGTTTCCCATAGCCATAAAATTAAACTTTGTAAGTTTCTTCTCACATATCCAATTCTCATTTTAAGCCTTGTGTTATATAGTTAGATGTAATGGTATATGGGAATGACCTTAGAAAACATGAAGATCTGCAGATTAGACAATGGTAAGATGGTGGCAGCTGAATTCACAGAAGAAATGGGGGCATGACAAACATCTAATAAATGACCTTTTTTAATTTCTTGGACCATAAAGGCAAGAGATGCACTTTCAGATTGGAAGATAATGTTAATGTAATCTTACAATAAAGTTAGAGCTTCTTCTCGGAATTACTTTCCAAGGTTGACAACAATCTTTCAATAAGTTATGCAACTACTCTTCAACAAGCCACATACACATCTTAACATTCAAACATTTATCCAGTAATTCCGATTTATCTCTGTGGCCTTATCTTTTCTCTCTCGCTCTTTGCTGTCTTTTTTTTTAAAGTAAGAATTAAGAGATAAACTTTATTTTACATAATTTAAGTTTCAACAGTCTCCTCCAAAATGCACAAAAGTTGAGGGTGAAAACAATCACAGGTTTGGTCGAAAGCATTGTAAGTCACATCCTTAACTAAGTAAGATTATTTTGCAATCCACAAAGAAATATATAATATAACAAATACCCTGCTAATAGAAAAGGGAATATAAAAATGTTAGTACCAGCTTAAAGTTTTCTTTCATTTTTATGTAGTCATTAAAATATGGGCAATTCCCACCAAACAATAAGGAGTACTTTCCTGTGCATGTTTTCCTGTTTCCCAGAAGTGTCCTATGCATTAATGTTTTTCAGAAAATGATGAAATAGATTTCAAAGAGTTTTTGCTAGCACTGGGTGAAACAAAAGATTTTACTGAAATGGAAGGTAAGATCAAATAAATCTGATATTTTTTTTTAGTTAGCAGGTATGTGTAAAAATACTACTTCTTTTAGTGGGCCCCTTCTTCTAGTCAGAGTCCAGTTCAAAGTATTAGGGTTTATATGTAGAGTCCCTCAGTTACTGACTCAACAAGATTTGTAGGCCCTTATTTTTCCCTAAAATTCCATTAGTTCTTTGCATTCTTTTGAATTGGGCCATATTCTGGTTCCTCACTCTGGGTTCAGTAGTATTCAGGTTCTAGGACTTTAAGGATCTGGCCCTATGAATCCCTCCTTTCCCCTCCCCCGCTTTGTGGAAGTCTAATGAACTTTAAAGCATAGTTTAAACTAGGGATCTCCAACCTTGGCAACTTTAAGAACTGTGGACTCCCTGGGAGTTGAAGTCCACAGTTCTTAAAGTTGCCAAGGTTGGAGATCCCTGGTTTAAAGGTCTTGGGGTCTGGTAGTTACCATTTGTTCATGTCTTTTACCAAGTAGACTCAGGCCTATAAAATATTGTGGATGGCATCAGATTTTGTGTTCATTTTACTACATTCCTCTAGAATTAATCATTTCTCTACTTTCCTCTTGAGATAAGACAGCAGATATAAGGTGGATGAAATTCCCTTAGGGTATTTTCGCCTCTTCTTTACAGTACAGTATGTTTCCTTGAAACATTGTTTTTTTCCTCATCTTTCTCTAGTTTTACAGCATGTCATTACCATTGTTGATAAAATGCATGGTGACCAGCTATATAAAAATGAACTGCAGGACACTATAGGCGAGTTGGGTCTTCATTTGACCGAGGAAAAAATCCAAGAAATTTTTCATGATATCGATGTGGATGGTAAATTGTTTTGTTTTTAATAAAGTGAAACTAAGCCCATATTTTGGTTTGGTAAGTTCAATATCTGGGTTATTAGGAAAAATATAGCAAGCTGTGGTGGTGGTTAAGAATATCACACTATATATTTTGAAATTCCTTTCCAGAAAAATCAATAAAGATTTACATTTGTAGATATTCTTCAAGAACTTGAGCATGTTAACTTTTGATCATGAGCACTGTTTATTAAAAACACCTGATAGAAAAAACTGCATAGCCACAAATGTGATTTAAAAAAAAACACATTATTTTTAATCACAAAACGTTTTATTGATTACATAGAAAGTCCTTTATGAGTTTGAAGATATAGGCAGATAAATTTGTTCAAGGCCTCATAACAATTCTTCTTTAACAATCCAACCCCTTATCTAGGAATATTTTTATGACCACACATTTTTGTGATTTAATGGATTTTTCATGTATCTTCTTTTTCTACCAGCTGATGGGACTGTAAATCTAAAAGACTTTCTGATGACTCTTCCTAAGATGCATTACTTCAGGGACTCTTTAGGTGAGGTTGTTAAAAACACAGCCATTACTTTTGGTAGGAGATGAACATTTGTCTCAGGATGTTGAAAATAATCTACTGTTGAGGTCTTTGAAAGTGGTATCATCCAAACAGAATATTTTACAGCATTGAACAGAATCTACCCCCCCAAAATAGCACTGGGCTATGAAAAATTGAACAGAAAAATAATAAGCATCTCAGAAGATTAGGTAGAAAACAAGGTGGTTACATTTTAAAAAAATTGGACAGTAGAAATTTACATCTGGAAACCATATATTTGTGAAAGATTTGTAATAAATTGTCCTATTATACCTGGACAATTTTAACCCATAAATTTGCAATGTGCATGTGGTTTGCTTGTGAGTTTTAAGTGTAAGTAAACCACATAAACAGACCTTCCCCAGGATGGTTTGTTTTTAGTCTAGTCAGTTTTTAGTCCATGGATCACCCAAATTGGGTGCATGACTGTTCTAACTGAGTCCAACCACTTTGCTACTTGTCATTCAGTTCTGCCCTTTTCTTCCAAGCATTATGGACTCTCCAAGGGAGCTGGGTCTTTCCATTATGCATAATAATTAGAGCCTGGTCATTTATGCCTCAAGTTAGAAATCTAGGTTGGTTTGTTTCTATGATTGATGTGTTTTCCTATCTGTCCATAGTATTCTCTCACAATTAAAAATGTCAATACTGTTATATACTATTTTTTTAACATTGTTTTCCATAGAATGTTACAGGAGAAAAACATTAACAGCATGATTATGATTTTTGAAAGTAGAGATACATTCACAGGATTCAAATGTCTTTTCCAAGGCCTTCATTGCTATCCTACGTTATGTTAGACTGTAGTACACTTATTTCTTGACTTCTGGTTCCTTTACTGTTGATACCTGATTTTAAAAAGCAAAACCTATCTACCACTTAAGTGTCTTTATTGTCCATTCTAAGCCAACACTGTAGCAGCAAATTAACTTTTATATTTAGCAAATTCACAGTCACTTCAAAGTCACCAGTTCACATAGGCAAATTTTAATTTAAGATTACCTTTCGAGAAAATTATAACACTTCTAGACAACAGTGGCATGATCTATTTTTGCAAAACAGAACTATAAAAACATTAAAAGTTGAATTAAATGTTTTAATAGCTTCCAAAGTATAATCTCAGATTATCTGAAATGCAATAATTAATTATTATTATGAGTCTTCTCACTTTGAAAAATATTTTTTTTTTATTGCTTCACCACATTACATCAACTATATTTTATTGTATATTATTTAATAAATATTTATTTATTTCTAAGTCCCAAAGCAATGTAATTTTTTCAGAAATTAAAAATGTGAAAATCACAGCTAAGAATAATGGAATATCAGCAGGGAGAAAATTCAGGTATTTAGCATAATAACAATATTTTTTATCTCCTTGCAAAAGCAAAGAGAGATATGTCCAAGTACCAGGAAGAATATTTCATACAGAAAATAGTTCAGCTGAAAAAGTATTTTATTACTTTCCTCTCTTTATTCTTTTTGTTTCATCACTCTCTGTCCTAAAATTCAGTATACCTTGTAATTAAGTGGGCAGCTATAACCCACAGGGGCTTGTAATGTTTTGTTTGTTTAGAAATGCAAAGTTTGTAATGAGTTTGAATGGTAGAACTGGAATGTTGCCATTTGTAAATATATTTGAATCAGAGGTTTTTGTGACTGCGCAATTTCCATTTCAGTCATCCTTCGAAGTATTTTGGTTTTCTTTAAAGCTTGTGCTTGATCTTTCTTATGATAGCATTTCAATCTGCTGTTGTGGCCTTCAGCAAGATAAAGGATGGGACTGTTGATCCTGGAGAATTGGAGTCCATTTTAGATTTTCTGGGAGTTACGTTGGACACCACAGAGCTCCAAAATGCATTAAAGGGTACTTCCATACCTGGTGAGTCTGTACTTCTTGCTCATTCATTCTACATCTTCCAACCATCTCAAATAAGAAATAAATAAATTCACTTTAAAATTCTGTAGCAAAGCTGTGAGCTGTGAAATGCTAATAAAGTCTGCCTGTGGCAAAAATCCAACAGAAAGTAGGCAACAACAAGGTTCCAGCAGTAAAGATTAAACCACGTGGCATAAAATGTAGCAAATATTATATTCCCCAGTATAAAGTTCATAGAAAACTTAACATAGTCAAGTTTTCCAATGTTAGTTGTTAATTTCAATTGTTGTGACTGTTCCATTTCAAATGTCTAAATATTAGATCTCTGGGCACCCTTCAGATGTCAGAATCAACTCCAGAAAATTTCAGCTATCATGCCCAGTGCTGAGAATTTGAGGAATTTGAGTCCACATACAGAATTTTTGGAGGACATCCATTTTGGGAGAGGGAGGCCAAGTATTATCCTGATACATCACCCAGTAGTTTAAAGGGGTCATCTTCACCAGCTTGTGTTTCCAAACATATTTATTTAAAGTTTCCAAACATGCCCACCATAGTTTATTCATTTAAGTCAATTTTTTAGAATCACATGGATCATAAATGTATCAATGTTTGCACACCTTGTTAGCCTAAAACGTGATTGGCTAGTTCTTGCTTATATTTGGCATGAAAATCCAGCCTCTTGGATCCTCTATTTGAATCGCTTGCTTGTTAATCTCAAGGCATATGTAGTCTCTCCCATGTTTTGGATTATGATTAGCAATTTCTTAAAAGTTTGAGAAATTATCCAGGGATTATATTATAGGATGCAACAAAAGGTTGGCATTGTTGATTTTTTTCAAGCATAGAAAAACTTGGTTTTTCAGGAACTGGAAAGTTCGGTTTCAAGGACTTCTTAGTCAATGTGACAACAAATGAACGCTTTTCTGAAAACTCACGTAAGTGGAAGCCACTATGCGCTCTGCAAGTAATTAGTGAGAAGAGTCAAATGCACACACATAATCAAAAGCAGGGAAGCAAACAATAAAAGGAACTGTCAAAAGATAACAGAGTTCCCAGTGTATGCAGTAGTAAATAAATAATTTTATTTTCCCATTTTCTGAAAACCTAAATTCTGCTGCTAAAATTAAAGCTGTTTCTACTTTGTATGGGAAAAATAGGTTCCTTGTTTGTTCTTATATGAACAAGCTTTATGTTTTAAAAGCTGGAAATAATTTTAATCATTTGCTAAGTTAATTATAGCTAAATTAAGTAGATTGATGGTAATAGGAAGAAATTCACTCTTAAATAACAGAATCAACAAATATGCAATTGTCCTGTGTGTAATCTTGTTGTTGAACTGTTAAATATACTAACATTGATGACCTGCAATAAACAGTAAAACTCGATTGGCTTTTCAGATCTCATTGACAATCTGTTGTACATCTTTCTAGGCTAGCCATTTCATAGATGGTGCTACAGGAAGGGCAGACTATTCAGAAAGTAAGGAGCATGGTGGCTCATGCAGTTAGAAAGCTGGGTTGATAATTTGCAAGCCTGGGTTCGAGACCTGAGGGTTGCTATGTGATGGGATGAGCTCCTGTTATTCACTCCAGCTCCTGCTAACCTAACAGTTCGAAAGTGTGCAAACACAAGTAGATAGATCCTCTTTTGGTAGGCATACTAACAAGGACATGAAAGAAGCCCCAACCAGTCATTCCCCCAGGCAATGATAATGTCACCATCTAATCTGGAAGCATCTCCGTGCTTTCAACACAAGTGTGATGCAATCAGAAAGCAAAGTATCTATTAGCAGCAGTGCATTGATCATGTAAGAAGCAAATGAAGTTTTTACTTATTTCTGAAATTAATTAAACAACTTTTCTATTTCCAACAGTTCATGGCACCTATAGCATTCTCTGCAGAATGAATAGAGATAAAGTTGAGATTTTTCAGATGAAAGATCTGCTGGCTGCTATTGGCATCACCTTAACCAAGGAGGACATGATGGAGGCACTGAAGAACATGACAGTAGATAGTAAGGACTTACTCTATTCAAATGTTTGTGGTCTACATATTTGATTTTTTTCTGATAAAGTGTTAGAACCATTCCGTTTGAATGTCTATGAACACACGTTTTAAAGTAATAAACATTTGGATAGTTTTCTCCCAACATATTCTCAAGCATCCTGAATATGATACTCCAGAAAACATAGAACAATGTTTGGCAATGTTTGCCAAAACAATGTTTTGGCATTATTTAAACCAGATTCTGAAGCACCAAATTATGTTATTTGCACATTTTCAGTTCCTGGTAATGTATGTACTGGTAATCTATATGTGTACTTTTGTGTATTGAACATTTCTAGTGCTCAAACATAATACAAATCAAACTGTATTTTCTATGAGTAATTATGTGTTCAAAATATAAACCAAACACTATTCTTTTCTGTAACTGTGAAATGTCAGGGCAACTGAGAATTTAGTTTTCTAGGGTCATCTGTAACTTTCCTACACCTGAATCAAACAGGACACCGTGCATTGTACAGTGAATCATGGGTTGGATATTTATGGTGAGAAGCAAGCATTTAAAATAAAATCTTGCTCCAGTGGTAATTAAGTGTCAGCTAAATAACTATACTGTTAACTCGTTAGTCCCATCTGTATCTGAACATGAATCTAGATTCATATTTCTCAATCTTGGCATCTGGAAGATGTTAATATTTTTGTTGGTCAATACAAATTGATATAAAATTGACTGCATGTATAAATGTCTATGTATTATTTTTCATTTCTCTTTTCTCTGATAAGATTTGCTTTCCCTTACAGGTAATGGGATGGTGAATTTGAAAGAATTTATGAAGATGTTATTACTCACACAGCGATACTCTTCAGCTGGAGGCAAGAATATCCCTTTTCATAAATCGTACATGTTTTATTGTAGATTGTTGCCTTTGGATGCCTCATCGTGTTACTTCTTATCTTAGACATGGAAAAAGCAGTGAAAACACTGAAGAGCATCAGACAAGATAAAATAGAATATGAAGAGTTGGATTCCATCATGTGTGCTCTGGGCCTTCAGTTATCTCAAGATGAAATCCAGAAAGCACTGGAATATGTTACCACAAACAGTAAGACTTTTCCAGAATAGCTGGTCTCCAGCATGCATAATCTAAATATATCAAAATTATTAGCAAATTGAAATTACAAGCTAAATCATAATCATCTTACAAGCTTTAATTTAGTAAAAGATTCCAGAACTAAACCTGTGACATATTGAATAATATCTAACATTCTTGTGTCTTTTAAAATCTATTTTACTTTCAAAGCACTAGAAGAACATTCTCTTGAATGAAATTCAACTTCTAAAATATCCATGTTAGTTTTCTTCGCAACAAGGTGGAAGCAGTTACTTTTTCCAGTCTTTTGTTTATTTCTTGGTTTAACTTTGATCATTAAAATGCCCTGGTCATCTCCATCCAGGTTCAATCTTGCTTAGCTTTTTTACTCAGAATATTTACCAAGTGGCACCACTTTCTGGGACATGATAAATAAATGGGAAGAAAAATGTTCAGATGAACCTTTTTCTAACAATCAACTGACAATTTATTTTGAAAGATGCTTAAATGATTAAACTATTTATTAATTGATATACAATATTACTGTGTTGCCAACTTTCAATAATTTTCATTAATTTGTTTATTTCTTTGCAGCTGATGGGACACTGAGTATGAAAGATTTTATGTTTGCATTGACCAACAATCGAAGATTTTCTGAAGCTGATAGTAAGTTTCAAACAACTTGTGGGTCTGGTTACAATTTTAGCTCTCATTATTATTGATTGAAAAGATTACAAACACTTTTCCCTTTGCGTTTCAAATAAATTCTTTCTATATTTGCAAATTGTGATTTAAAATTAGAACATTTTCAATTATTAATATGAATGAATTTACTCTTGGCAATTCTTTGGGCCAGGTCTCTCTACATCTTCCAATCTTGCACTACTACTTTGAGTGATTCTATGCTCTGGCTTTGATGGTGGTTTCAAGCTAAACATAGGGAAATTACTCACTCTGAGGAAAACAGGGTGACAACCCCCCCCCCCCACACACACACACTATTCTGCTAAAACATGGGAGTAAAACTGATTCCATGTGAAGGGCATAATGATGGTGCCACCTTGTCTGATTGATGGCAGCCTCTGCCAAAACCACCTCCACACAAGCAAATTGCCTTCATGAGATACTTGAAAGCTGTTATGGCTTTAGCACTAAACGTTATTGAGCTATAAAAATTGGAGTAATTGAGGATAAGAATAAGGAATTAGAACACTGATCAATAGAATTGGGGGGGGGGAGAAATTGATAAAGAATTGGGAGCTGCAGAAGATTCTCAAAGGTTATATGCTGAAAATGTTTGTACCACAACTGAGAGGATGATACAAACTCTTCTTTTTTATGTAGTTCTGCTAAATTTGGTGAGATCTTATCTTTCATTTCAAAGCAACAAACAACATTCTCAATTATACTCATATTAAAATAATAATTTGATTTTTCTCTTCATTTTATACTTAATGAAACAAATTATAGAAATGTTAAAGACCCTTCTGCCTAAGGATATTGCAGAATCAGTCTGAAAGCCATACCAAACTTCTGTATCTCTACAGTTCTTATGCTGTAGGGATACAGAAGTTTGATATGGCTTTCTTCTACTGTAGGGAAACCTGATTTCCAACTCAACTGCAATGTAAATGATCCAACTACAATGCTAGATATTGAAGGTCCTCTTTCCCTGTTAGAGGGAACGTTTCTTTTCCCCAGCTTCTGAGGTTCAGCAGCAAATCCTCATTAGCCTAGACTAAAGGTCAATGTCTGGAATACTCTACCCGACTCTGTAGTTTCTTCCCCAAACCCCAAAAACTTTAACCTTAGACTGTCTACTATTGACCTCACCCCTTTCCTAAGAGGTCTGTAGGGGGCGTGCATAAGCGCACCAACGTGCCTACCGTCCCTGTCCTATTGTTTCTCTTATTCTTTTATTTTTCTTATATGTAACCATTTCATGTATTCACAACTATGTATACATTTATACTTATTATCTTGTAAACAATTGGCAAATCAAATAAATAAAATAAATAAATAAATAAATAAATAAACAAACAGAATAGAAATTGGGAAGTGTTCTATCAATTTCTTTTTTCTCTTCAACACAACAGGCTGGCAAAATATCCTGAAACTGGCCATTCTTCCCTCCCCTTTGTGTACTATGAGGGTGAGAGAACCTATGGCAGTAATTTTCACTCCTTATTCTCAGCTATTTAGGTCAGCAGGAAGGAAAGATGACAGGGATCCTTGTTTAGTGACTGCCTTGAACAGCAGGGCATGACCTACCAGTTCTGTAAAGCAAATGAATGCCAGACTAAAAACCACGGTTCCAAATAGCAACTGCTTTAACATCTGAGTTGGCAATTGTGGTTGCTAAAGAAAGACTACCTGTAGAAACAATTTATCTGCTTCCGGGTGTTTCAGAATTAAAAACAGTGATAGTATGGAAGTGTCATAAATGAATATACATATTTGAACATAAATACTTGAACATAGTTGAATATTCTTTGTAATATAGCAATAGCACTTAGACTTATATACCGCTTTATAGAGCTTTACAGCCCTCTCTAAGCAGTTTACAGAGTCAGCATATTGCCCCCAACAATTTGGGTCCTCATTTTATCCACCTCGGAAGGATGGAAGGCAACCTTGGGCCTGGTGGGATTTGAACTGCCAAATTGTAGGCAGCTGGCTGCAGAAGTAGCTTGCAGTATTGCACTCTAACCACTGCGCCACAGAAGCTCCTAATGCTGTTCTCTTTCTGTTCCTCTTCCTCCTCCTCCATTTTCTTTTACAGGAAATAGGGTTCCCATTAAAAATCTGAATTCCATTTTGAAAAACATGGGGATTTTTTTAACAGAGGAGGAAACAAAGAAAGCCCTTGAGCAAGTTACAGTTGATGGTAAGAAGTATAGGGATATATATTTAAGTGACAAGAGACTTGAAAGTAGGGAGGCTAGGAACTCATGAACATTAAGCAGGAAGAATTCCCAGGTTTTTTTTTAAAAAAATTACCTCATAGGCAAGACAATGCTCCAACATTCATCAGAACTGTTTGGTGTTTACAACATTTTTCGAGGCTTGACTATCAAACTGGCTTTCTTATTATTAACTTTTTTTTAATTTAAAGGGCATAAAATGGATTCTCAAAACACATTCAGTACCTTGTCTCATGGATAACCTTGGAAACCTATTTAGGTTATACCCATATGTCTCCAGTTTTACTCTAAAGCACTAAGAAATAGATGGATTCAAAACAAATTCCCCAATCTGATGACTTCCAGATGTATTAGAAATACAATGTCCTAAATTCTCAGGGGTACACCATGAAAATTTGGGGTATTACAGGTCAAGCACATTGAGGGGAACCTGGTTGCACCATTTTTTAATCAGATGTAGGTTAGTTAGTTTCAATCAGGGGTACTTATAGTAGCTCTCTTTCCACATCTGTCTTTTTCCTGTGTCCCAAAACTGGAGAGTAACAAAGCATCTCTTTCTGATCCTCCAACACTGTACCCTCCAATACAGTAATAATGCCTCACATCGGAAGTGGTGTTTCCTCTTTCTTCATTGTCCATGTCAGCCTTCAAGATTTTTCTCCCTTTGCTTTGCTTCTTTCGGCTGTCATAAGTAACGGGGGGAGGGGGGGGAAATGATTATGGGAAGTGAGCTGGAGGTGTTACAAACCAGAACTGTATAAGCTGGGGGGTGGGGTACATTCTTGCTTAGGTTTCTATCCTATGCTTTGTGCAGCTGCAACCCTTTATCAAACTATGTCAAGGTCAACGGACAGAAGCCTCATCACCACCTGGAGATGCCCACATGATGATATACACAACTTTTAATTGGATGAACCAATTGAACTATTGGGGGTGGGAACGTTGCCATTACTTTGTATATGTGAGTTACGCACCCATTTTCTCAGATTCAGAATTCTTTTGTTGCTACCACTTGATTTCCAGTAAAAGATATCTTTTCTCTGATTAAAAGAGTCTAAGTATTTCTTTCTTGGATTTTGAATGGAGCACCAGCTGACATTATTCTGAATCTCCACATTACCAGCCCACCCGGAGAAATAATAAATTTTCTTCCGAGGGGATCTGAACACAATGTCAAATCCAGCCAGCGACCAAGAAGACCTGGGAGCAACTGGAGGACAAGATTCTCTGCTGCTAGAGGAAGCAGGGGAAGCCGACTTGTTAGCAGAACTAAATCTTGAGGAAAAACCAGCTGTAAAACCCAAATGGTCCCTGGGAGTCTGTTGGAAGGATCCTGAGGAAAAGCCTCCTCCAGGAGTGACCACTACCCGTCAGCGTGGAAGAGAGGAGCCATGGCAAGAGAAGGAAAGAAAGAATTTTTTACTAACTCAAGCCATGCATCTTCTAAATGAAGCTATCGGAGAACCTCAAACTGATCAAAGGTATGAGGGAGAGGAGGGGGAGGCAGCCCCAGCCAGAAGAATCAGAGCAGCCACCCCCATAAATCAACCTGGGCTAGCGCAACAGGCAGCAGCAGCCCAGGGGCCCCCAGCGGGAGGAGTAATTGCCAGAAGACATAGAACTCCAAAGGTGCCCCCGTTGGAAGTAAAATATGGGGGGGGGATCCCAAGGATTTAGGATTCTTCCTGGCACAAGTCTGGAGCCATATGGAGGAATATGGAGGGGATTTTTCCTCAGAAGCAGCCAAAGTTAGATGTGTTACCAGGGCTCTGGAGGGAACAGCTGCAAAGTGGATGGTGATTTTGCATAATGATAATGCCCCTCAGCTGATGAATTATAACCTGTTCATGACTGCGCTGCGGGCCAGGTTTGAAGACCCACTTGCTGAACCTAAGGCCAGAATTAGGATGAAGACCATAAATCAAGGGCGGAGATCAGTGGCCAACTACACCCAGGAATTTAGAGAGCTGGCATGTCATATTCGAGGCTGGTCCCAGGGAGCCCTCATAGAAGCTTTTAAAGATGGGTTGAATGACTATGTATATCAAAGCTGTATTGCCAGAAGAGACCCCAGTGAGCTGCAGCTGTGGTACATGCTGGCGCCAGAGGTGGAAATTGATTTGACCCAAAACAGACGCCGGGGGTTTTTGGTTGGAGCAAATCCTCCCCCACCAGCCCTCGAGAAGCCTTAAAACCTCAAAAGGGAGGAATGGCGGCAAAACCCAAGACCACTGCTTGCTTCTGATGTGGGAAGGAAGGTCACCAGGCTGCAGATTGCCGTGCCAAGCTAGAACCAAAGGGGGCATCAGGAGGAAGAAGAAAACCTGAAAAAAAAACCAGGAAAGCCTCGCGAAATGGTGCTTAAAGCAGAGGAGATTGTAGAGATCGCCCCTCTGAAAGGAGAGGAGCTGGGAACTCCAACCTCTTCTGAAGAGAGTGAATCTGAATTGGAAGATGACTCATTGGTAAGTCCAAACAAGGGTCCTATGACCATTCCAGTGAGATTAAGGGTACCCACGTCGGGAGCCAAAGGGGAAATGCTGGCCTTGTTAGACTCTGGGTGCACAAGGTGTGTAATCAGCTCGGAGGTAGTGGAGAAAATGGGCTTAAGGCTGAAGACTTTAAAAACGCCATAGCCTTTTGCCAATTGGATGGATCGGTAGCTGGGGGCGGCCCTGCACATTTCATAATGGAACCAATAGAAATGACGATGGGGAAGCATAGAGAGACTTTGTGTTTTATTGTGGCTCCTGGGATGGAGCGGCCCCTAATATTGGGGTTGCCCTGGCTCCGGAAATGGAACCCCCACATTGATTGGAGGAGAGGGTCATTGTGCATACATACTGACCAGCACCCAGAAGGGGAGGGGCAATCTCAACCGAAACTCAAGAATCCCACTGAACTGGCCTCCACTGGCACCGAGAACCTGAAGGGGGAGGAGAAAATTCCGGAGGAATATTGGGACTTAAAGGAGGTATTCAGTGAAAAGGCCTCGGATGAGCTTCCCCCCCATCGTTCAACAGATTGCAGTATTGAAATTATACCCGGGGTGAAACTCCCAAAACCAAAACTGTACTCAATGACACCGTGGGAGCTAGAAGAGATGCAGTCATTTATCGATAAGAATTTGGAACGTGGTTTCATCCAACCCGCTAGACCTCGGGTAGCAGCCCCAGTATTGTTCCGTGAAAAGAAAGATGGTTCCCTTCGTTTGTGTTGACTATAGAAACCTGAACGCTATTTCACTGGAGAACGTGTACCCCCTCCCCTTGATGAAGGATATGTTGGCGCACTTGGCCAAAGGGAAAATTTTTACAAAACTCGACTTGAGAAAAGCATACTACCAGGTTCGAATTAAGGAAGGGGATGAATGGAAAACTGCTTTTAACTGCCCAATGGGTTGTTTCCAATTCAACGTTCTTCCATTTGGCCTACAGGGGGCCCCTGCAGTATTCATGCAAATCAATCAGGTGTTACATGAACATCTATACAAAGGGGTGTTGGTTTCTCTTGTTGATATTCTTATCTACGCGGAGACTCGTGATGAACATGTGAAACTAGTGCAGTCAGTTCTGGAAAAACTTCGAGCTGCTGAGCTGTATGCAAAGTTGTCCAAGTGTGAATTCCACCAGGAAAAAATTGACTATTTAGGTTATCGCATCTCACATGATGGCATAGAAATGGATCCGGGGAAGGTTTGTGCCATTTTGGAATGGGCCCCTCCCCGCACCAGGAAACAACTTCAAAGTTTCTTGGGATTCGCTAATTTTTACCGTCAATTTATCCCTGCTTTTGCAAAGATTTCAATGCCTATCACAAATCTCCTAAAAACCAAAGGGGAGGTGAAACCGAAGCCTAATAAACCCCTGGAGTGGTCCATGGAATGTCAAGCCACTTTTGAGAAGCTGAAATGACTGTTTGCTGCTGAACCAGTACTCAAGCACCCGGACATGGACACTCCTTTTGTAATCCAAGCCGATGCGAGTGACATAGCAGTCAGGGCGGTGTTACTACAAGCAAACGAGATGGGGACTCTGCAACCGTGTGCATATACTTCCCGTAAACTAATGGAAACCGAAAGAAGATGGGCCATCTGGGAAAAAGAAGCTTTTGCAGTTCGTTTGGCTCTGTTAACCTGGAGGCATTTCTTAGAAGGGGCAAAACACCCATTTGAGGTGTGAACGGATCATAAAAATTTGGAGGCTTTGAAAATGCCACGGAAGCTATCTTCCAAGCAAGTTCGCTGGGCGCAGTACTTTAAGCACTTTAATTTTTCATTGAAGTACATTCCAGGGGGGAAGAACTTCATGGCGGATGCTTTATCTAGATTACCTCAATATAATAGTGCTCGCCAAGAAGTGGTACGGCCGATTGTCCCAACCAAACAATTGGCAGCTCCAGTGGTACCAGAGCCCAGAAAAAGAAGGAGGTTGATTTATCAAATGATTTGACTGCACAGTTAAGAGATGCTCTAAAACTTGATGATTGGTTCCTTGCTCACTCAAATAACTGTACGGTTAGAGATGGATTGGCATGGGTGGGGGTCAAGTTATATGTGCCAGTGAAGCTGAGAAACCAAACAGCAAGTTCATGACTCTAAAGCCACTGGTCATTTTGGATTCGTGAAAACCTTACACTTAGTTAAAAGGCAATTTTGGTGGCCTACCTTGAAAAAGGACATTGAGACTTATGTAGCTAGTTGTCCTATTTGTGCCTCAGCCAAATGGCCTCCTGGTAAACCAGCAGGCTTACTACAAAATGTGGCTAGACCAACGGCTCCATGGAAGGAAATCTCTATGGATTTTTTTTTTTTTTTTTGTAAATTTTATTTGAGTTTTCACAAAAAGAAAATTAAAACATCTTTTTTGAAAGCAGCATAATCCTGGGTTACATTTCTTCGTGCAGACACAATTTCAGGTTCATGCTCATTTTTATATTCTATTCCATATCTTATTACAATTTTACATTTTCTACATAGCTTCTCCCCTCTTTTAATTTCCTCAATTTTATTGTATTTATTTCATCTCAATTCAAATCATTATATTTATATTTTTTGTCTGTCCTGTTTCAATTGTCTATTATCTTTTCTCATTAAACAAAATTTCTCCTGTAGTTACTGATTGGAGTATGACGCCTTTATATCTTTCCCCTAAAATTATAACACTCGATATAACACATAGCTTCCATTCGGATTCTGTTTGGTACATTCTTAAACTACACACAGTATTCTTTAAAAAAAAGAAAAAATTATAAATGTATATAATTAAAACAACATTCCATTCCAATTTAATTCTAGCATTAATATTAATATTCATTAAAGTCTTAAGATTTTTCACGTTACTTTTCAATTAAATATCATACTTCTATGGGAACAATTATAAACTTTCCATAATCAATTCCCCCACTTATCTTTTATAAAACATTGACTCATTAAAGTGTTCCCATTCCTTCCTAATTCAATTTTCTCGTTTATTTTATTTCATTTACTTTATTCACAAACATTTCACTAAGTTACACTAACCATTCTATCCCTCATTCTAATCATATGTCGTTTCCAATTTTCTAAAGTTATTTCTATTTCAAATATAACAACACAATCTCATGTACCTTTACAGAATCCCCCTTTCAAATTTTCACCCATTATCTCTAAATAGGTCCTATTTCTTTATATCTTGCTCCGAACCTTTGTAACTTCTTTTCCTTTCCTTCTTCCCTCTCTTCTTCTCCCTTCCCCTTTTACCCCTTTGTCTCTCTACCTCTACTTCCCTCTTCTGTGTTCCCCTTTTCTGTTGCTTTCCAGTATTATACTTATTTTTCAAATTATTTTTCTCTTCTTTGGTTGTTTTTTTAAGCCTTAAATTCTCCATCCTCTTCCCCCTCCTTTCCTTTTTCTTCCCCACATAGAGTTACTTGTTCATTAAAGATGGCTTCTTCTTTGTCCCAGTCTTCTTGTTTTGCAGTCTTTTCTTGTTGTTTCTCATAGTTCCAAATCTCCATTTCTAAGAATTGAAAAACGAAGCCAAAGGAAATCTCTATGGATTTTATAGTGGAATTACCTGAAAGTGAAACCCAGATAAAAGTTTAAAAAGTCCCTTTTAAAAATTTTACTGTTTGTTAATGTAAGAACAAATGTTTAAAATGCATTTTCCATTTGTGGTATCCAGGTCTTCTCATTTATCATTTATCATTTCTGTAATCTTAAATTAGATGGAACGGTAAACCTGAATGAATTCACAAGGAATCTTAGAGTCTTGCAGGAGTTACCTCGACCTAATGGTGAGTGGTGGCTTAGATACAAAGCTAGCACTGATGATGTTACCTAACTTGTTAATGAAATGTCTACAAGAAAACCACCAGAGAGCAGCAAGGGCTCCACAGATATAAGAATTATTTATTTAATTGCCAAATTTACAGGATGTACACTATTTAAAAAGTACGCTCAATAAGACAAAGAAAATACCTATATAAAAGTCCAGAAAATAAAACACAGTAACCTATAAATTCCTATTTGCTCCCCATGCCTAAGAAGGAAGCCAGGTTTTCAAAGACATTTTAAACATAATCAGGATGGGAGCCGCATAGATCTTTGGAGAGAGTCTGATCCAAAAATTGTACTCTACTAAAAAAGGCGTGTTTATTGGATTTTAATAGATAACATTATTTAATTGATGGGGCCTGGAACATGCCTACATAGAAATTATTAGAGACAGACAGTCAATCTGGCTTTACACGACAAAAGATTTTATATATGGTAATCGCGTCTTGCTACACCTTGAAGTGTTACCTGAGGTCATTTGACAAACAGTGCAATTCATAGAGCAGCCTCCCAATCCTAGAACAAGCAAAACCGACACATCTATGTGAGAACCTCGGGGCCACAACTGCCATCTTGCCCCCTACTCTTCAAGCAGAAGCTGCAAATAACCCAATTGCTCATTGGTCTGTGGGGAAATGCTACCCTGTCCAGAACTAAAGAAGGAAAAGGGAGGGAACATATCTACGTTGGCTGATTAATTTTCTGAAGAATGTGTCCTTCAGCCAATTTATTTTGCCACTTAGGTGACATAGAAGAAAAAGTTGCTGTGGAAGATGTAGAGTCTCTTTTGTCCAACATGGGGGTGCCGTTAACCAAAGAGCAGCTCCAAGAAGTATTGAAGAATGTGACTGTGGATGGTGAGTAGGAAAAGAGATAAATAAAATAAAATAATAAAATAAAACAAAATATCATCTTATCTTACATGAATCTGCTTAGCCTCTAAGATTTCCCTCTGAGTCTTCCTTTCTTAAAGCCAGGCTAGTATTTCTAAAGTGTAGATATTTAGTTGCTGCTCCTATTTCATATATTTATTTATTTATTTATTTATTTGATTTGCCAATTGTTTACAAGATAATAAGTATAAGTGTATACATAGTTGTGAATACATGAAATGGGTACATATAAGAAAAATAAAAGAAGAATAAGAGAAACAATAGGACAGGGACGGTAGGCATGTTGGTGCGCTTATGCACGCCCCCTACAGACCTCTTAGGAAAGGGGTGAGGTCAATAGTAGACAGTCTAAGGTTAAAGTTTTTGGGGTTTGGGGAAGAAACTACAGAGTCGGGTAGAGTATTCCAGACATTGACCACTCTATTGCTGAAGTCGTATTTCCTGCAATCAAGTTTGGTGCGGTTTACTTTGAGTTTGTATCTATTGTGTGCTCTTGTGTTGTTATGGTTGAAGCTGAAGTATTCATTGACAGGTAGGACATTGCAATGTATGATTTTATATACCATGCTTAAATCAGACCGAAGACGGCGTAATTCAAGGTTTTCTAGTTCTAGAATTTCAAGTCTGGTGGCATAAGGTATTCTACAACGAGTAGAGGAGTGGAGAACTCTTCTTGTGAAATATTTCTGGACTTTCTCAATTGTGCTAATATCAGATATGTAATGTGGGTTCCAGACTGATGAACTGTATTCGAGTATTGGTCTAGCAAATGTTTTGTATGCTCTGGTTAGTAGTGTGATATTACCAGAGAAAAAGCAACGTAGGATTAGGTTAACAACTCTTAATGCCTTTTTGGCTATGAAGTTGCAGTGGGCTCTAGCACTTAGATCATTAGAGGTGAGTATTCCAAGGTCCTTTACAGAGCTTGGGTCATCAACAAGATCTTGACTATTCAGGTTGTATTTTATTTTCTGATTTTTTTTGCCAATATGTAAGACAGAGCATTTATTTGTTGAGATTTGAAGTTGCCATTTGTTTGACCATTCTGATACATAGTCAAGATCTTTTTGTAGGGTAGCAGTATTGTCTGTGGTATTGAACAGCTTTACATCATCAGCGAAAAGAACGCAATTGCTCTTAATATGATCACAGAGGTCATTTATGTAGAGTATGAAGAGAGTTGGTCCTAGAACACTGCCTTGGGGGACACCACTATTGACAGGTACAGAATTTGATAGGACGCTCCCAATTTTGACCATTTGTTGTCTGTTTGCCAGGAATGCTTCTATCCAGTTATTCAGTTGTCCAGAGATACCATAGGATTTTATTTTTAGGAGTAGTTTGTCGTGTACCACTGAATCAAAGGCTTTACAGAAGTCTATGTAGATTGCGTCTATTGCTGACAGAGTTTTGTCTAGCTGTAGTGCAATTTTCAGACATAAGGGGAGAAAGTATTTCTGCCAGACTCTTGCTAATAAGCCCTTTGTCTTCTGATTGAGTTAAATCAGAATGTTATGTTTTTTAATTAAGATTTTAAATGTGCATTATATTTCAATTACTTTTGATAGCAACTTTGAGTGGTAAAATATTAATATCTGTCACTTT